GGACTGACACACGGTCCGCAGCAAGGCTAGCCGTTTTTTGCGCAACTTGGAAGCCATGCATACGCGTCTGCAGGAGAGGGTGACGGGCTCACGGCAACTTTCGTTTTGTTTTCGGGATATACCTGAGTGTATCCGTGTTGGCATGAATCGACATTACACCAAGGAGGCCCATCAAAATTGATCTTGTTTCCCGGCCGTCCTGTTGGTTGTACCGTCGTTGCTCGCATGCACTGACTGGAGCACCTAGTTCTCTTTCTCAACTCGAGGGCTCTAGTGCCAGGCCACATCAATACTACCGCTAGCAATACAACAATCTACCTGCAGGGCATGCCGATCTGAATCCATCGTTCACCTGTTCACCTTGCTTGGCCAATGCGATCGATCAAATGGACGACCAGGAGTCCCGCTGGAAGTTCTCGACAACACGTTCATCGAGATGATCAAGGCCTCCGTGGACAAGCCATTACCCCTCACCGTTTACAACTACAAGTCCATGACGACGAGGTGCGGAGCAGGATCGCGAAACAAATATCACGCCTCTAGGAGCCCAGTGAGAGGTGGGGGGGAAGGGTACCGCTTAAGAGTGCCACAAGGTGCTGTCAGTAGCCTCGGGGGGGGGAAGTGCGCGTTGCGTCCGACTTCGTGTTTCCTTTCCACCGAGGCACGAAGCGGATGTATTGAAACGCGTCCCTATTTCTTGGAGCATACAGGGAAGGGGGGAAGGGTTGCCTGTCAAGGAGGCGTGCTGTAACCTGGGGATAGGCCACACCCCAAGCTTGTAGCTACGATGTTGAGGAGTTTGGGGTGTCTCTTTGGCGCCCCCACCTCCTTCTCGTCGTCTAGGGTCTTGCGTATCTGCCTCATTCTATAACATGAACGACAACGGGACCCTCTTCCATTATTTCTTCGAACCCGCGCGCCCATTACCCGTGCAGAGACGTTACAATAACGCCGTCGAGTTCCTGGGGGGGGCAGGGGATGCTCGGAGTGACGATTCGCTTCGACACGTACCACAACGCCGACGATAATCTGGTGGGTGCTGCTATTCGGCTGGAACGTGTGTTCGACATGTATGATGTGTTGGTTGGCGTTGACGGTAGTGACCGGCTGGCCAATCCACATGTGGGTCTTTTCATTCGTGTGCTGTTGGCGTCAACCGCCCCGCTACCCATGGCCAATGAAGAGAACACCAGTACGGCAGAGGAAAGCATGCGACACGCACGCCGAGCGTTCTCTCGAGGGCCCTGATGGGGCTGAATAACACGGTAGTACTTGTTATTCCTCCGCTAGCATCCGTTCCTTGATCACTCTCTCGCGGACTTTTGTCGTCCCATTCGGCTCGGAACTGCTGTGCACACACCCCGTTAGTGTGTCACTGTCGTCATCGCGGTTTGTTTTCTTGCTACGCCGCCGTCCTCTGCGCGTGAAAATGAGTTGTGTCGTGTACAGAGATGGAGCCAAACTACAGCAAATTCGCGGTCTAGGTCTTGACGGCTCAGTCTTTTCACAGTATGGGAGGAACACGTGCACCGTAACCCACACGCCATATTTGCCTCATGCGGTTCCTCTTTGGTGCCTGCAACATCCGAGGCAATAGTATTCGCAACCCTCATGCACCATATTACTATCATTAGTAATTTCTTAAATCATCGCTGGCGGTGCCGTGTGTATGCCCAGGTGAGAGTGCTGGAGGTGGTGCCCGGGTCGCCGTCGCACATTGCGGGGCTCCAGCCGGAGCACGACTACCTCCTGGGCACGGCGGAGAGAGTCTTTAAGGACCCGGACATCTTGTTCGAGGAGGTCACCGCCCACCTCGACCAGCCCATGTCCTTCTACGTCTACAACACCAAGACCGATGAGGTATCCTACCCTGCAGTACACAGCAGCCGCACCTAACCAAAAGGAGTAAGTTGGCATCAACGCCGGGAAACACGTCCGTCCGTCGCCTGGGGGTTTCATGCACGCTGTGACGGTTTTGTGAATATTTTTTAGGCCGCACGTCGATTAGCCCGTGCCCTTCTGTTATCCGAAGCGGCACGGCTCTTGATCACCTTAGCCTTTTCCGAACGGGAGTCGTGACGACGATGGCTGTGGGCAAGACGAGAGACAACTTTTGTGTAGTTGAAGGGGGTTGACGATAAGCACTGGCGGCCGTTCTCCCCTGTGGATTTTCACCATCGATAGCTAGACCCCCCCCACACACACATTTCTCGGTAGAAATTTGCCCGGTTGACATTGTATGCAAGACTTTGCCCCTCACAACCTCCCTCCCGTTCCGTTGTTCTGATCGTGCGTGCGTTAGGTCCGAGTGGCGGTAGTCCTGCCGACGAACGTGTGGGGCGGCGAGGGATGCCTTGGAGCGGAGGTTGGACACGGATACCTGCACAGGCTGCCCCAATCCTGCCGGTGAGGGGCCGCGTAGAACGAATTCCCCGCACTTTTTTTTTTATATGTTTTCGTTGCATTTGGCATTTTGTGTCGTATATTTTTAGGGGTAAAGTTGGCATGTGACCATGGAAGGCGTCACTTGGACCCGGTACGGATGTTACAACAGGTGCTGAGCAGAGACCAGGAAGGTTGTTGGTCAGGAGACAGCAACAACAGTCAACAAACTTCATTTCGGGAAGTCTTGTTTTCATAGCTGAACGCCGTCCGAATTTGGCGGACTCGAGGTGTGCTTGACCGTATTTGGGACTGATACCCAAGTTTCAACCATGGCCAACAGCTGTTTTGGTGTTTTTTTTTTTTTTTTTTGGGGGGGGGGAGGGGACCGTTTCGGTCGACGCGGCTGGGTAGCCACACGTCCTCCCCGAAACAAGCGTAAAACCCAGACAAAAAACTACACTGGAATGAACATACACATTGATGAAAAATGGAACAATTTGTTGTCTGGAGTGTAGTAGGCGCGCAGGAGAGGTGCCTCCCACTTTCGACGTTCCACCAATATTTAGATGCGCGAGACCCAAAGCCTGTGACGGATGTCTTGACTGATTTTCGCCAGCAGCGAGAACCCTCTCCGATTGCACCTACAAGTGGTTTGTTGACCTCCGTTTCCCTCCCTCTCTGGAGCTCCCTCAATGAAATCGCCTCCTTATTGATAGGCCAAAGCGCGCCCGACGGATGCAAGCGTGATGTGGGGTGCTGAACTGCGGGTGGAATTTTCGACAAAGGCGGATGCGAAATGCACTCCCCCACCGTTTACCCAAGAGTATTTTGTCATTTGAGCTTACGTCCCGTTCGTACACCCTGTCGGGAAGGGCCCGGATGTTTGGCCAAAACCGAGTGAGCGTCAGTGCCATGAGGTAGCAAGGTTCCGATTGTTTTTTGTTCCTTCTGGGCGTTCCCCGCGCTCTCGATGCTGAACACCATGCCGTGCGCTACCGACGGCCCCGCTAGCCACCTTAGCCCCCCCAATTGAACGTCGCCCCGTCCGCGTACCCCCCCTCCCCCCCACTTGAACCACCTTGGCGACGAAAAACAACGGTTGTACACAACTCAGGAGCTCTACGGCAACCAGCGTTATCAAGGGCATGTGCATTCTCGCAGCGGATGCAACGGGCGGGGGCGGGAAACAGTTGTCTTACACTGCAGCTTCTCGAAAAAAGCAAGTCCCCAACGGTGGGGTAGCTCCGGACGGGTCTACAACAGCAGTAACGGGAAAAGATGGGGGCCCAGCAGAGCAAGGGGGGGCAGGGGTAGGGGTGCCCCCGGGGGGGGCTTTGGGAGGCGCGGGTAACGTGATTGATGTCGACTTGTCTGGGTGAAAAAGGGTGCGTCGACTTACCCCATTGAGGCAGACAACCGACGAGTGAAGTTGTGGCGTGGCCGCACGAGAAGCCACAGCGTGTGTCTGTGTTCTGGTTGTGTGCGTGAAATATGTGTTGCGTTTTCTGCTACGAGCTGGCGTGAGCTCAATGGGGTGGTGTACGATTTAGTTGAGTGGAGCGAGGGCGAACGGTTGCTTATGGTCATTCAGCCATGTATGCTGACGAGCCCCTGTCCGTAGTGTCATGTTTTGTATTTGCAGGGGTTCGGTCAACAGCCAGCACGAACAATCCCGAGGATTGCTCCCAGCCGTGGGGGCGGGCCGGAGCCAACGTGATTCCGGGGTCCCTGACGACTGAGCCGTTATTTTTTCTTGAGGATGCGGTGGTGGGTAACCTTGGGTGTGTTTTGGTTCACCCCCGTCTCGCCCTCCAGCTTTTTTTTTTTGTGTTTTCAGGTCGCGCGCTTCTTTTCGCTTCTTGCGCTTTTCGAATGGCTATGCGACCGACCTCATAACTCCCATCTTGTTTTCTCTCTCCGTGACGTTTTTTGCCAAGCATGGAATTGACAACGGTCTTTTGGTTGGACGTATTGCTCGAGGATGGCGACGTTATTCTGTTCTTTCAGAAACGAATCAATTCTCATCTCTTTATTACCTCCAGGCGAGAGAGTCGTTTGGGCTTGTAACTGCTCGCTGCGGGCTCTTAAACTCTCATCTCTCGTATCTCTCATCACAGTAGTTGAAGGGCTTTCGCGGTCTCAGCCCTAGCCCGAGGTTGGAACTCCATCCGGTCGTACACACGTTGTTGGTGCCCCTTTGAGGGGCCGAAACTCCAACTGGTGATATTATTGGGGTCCCGTTGTCCTCCTCGACAACATGCCACACGATTTGGCGTGCGCGGCTTGCGTGCGCTGGTTAACAGGGCTGATTTCGTAAGATTGTTTGCCCGTATGCACCCTTTCTACCAGACCAATGGCATACCGCGGTTAAATCGTTGCACACGTGTGCCCTTTATCGACCAGCCGCGATTTTCCTGTACAACGAAAAAATGTACATCGTAAGGTGGGGGTAACACTGGCGTCCGGAAAGCCACAAGGAAGGGCAAGGATCCGTTCACCCACACACAAATAACGTTCTTCGTGAGCCAGGCGCTGAGACTGACGTCCTTTGCTTGGTCAGCCGGTTAGCGCAGTCGATGTCAACAAGACGAACACACATGCACTATGCATACGCCAATCAATTCTGTTCGAGGTGCTGAAACGCTCCGAACTGCTCGCTAGCTTTCATGGTGTCTGCTGCCACTGCTTGTTGGGGTTGTTTACCATCTACTGCTTCCACACAGAAGCTCCTTATCAAAATACTTGCCACGACGCGAAGCAACTAAGCTAGCTATGAAGTTGAAGGTTTACGTAGACCCTACAACCCTAACCCCCTAAATTCCACCGATTCGATACTTCATCCAACATGTCTGCATAATGAAAACCTGCTGAAGTTACTGAACATATTCGGGCAGGGTACATCCCAAGCCATGACTACAGGTGGCGCAAAATTAACCGGCAAAACACATCAACACGGCAAGAACATTGAACCTCCCGAACTTATTGCACCGCAATAACAACCCCACTATTTTATCATTATCAAAGCACTCCGTCGGAGCACTCCGTCTCTACCCGCTTCGCCGCTCATTGAAAAATCTCGCGGCCGGCTAGCAGACAGCAGCGCGGCCCCGACCTGACCATCGCAAACCAACCCCTGCGTCAATCGACGCGACAGCGGAGGTTGTCATAGTCTTGTTCGAAACACACCACCGGTCTAGCAGAACGTGGTAACAGGCTGGGGAAATCTCCCGCCCAGACTCTGAAGCCCGCCTTGCTTATCGTCGGGATGGAGCCGGCGTCCTATAAAACACTGCCGGGGTCTCAAGATGGTGAGGCCGCGTTGTTACTGTCGCCGCTGTTTCAAGGAACGGATAGCAACACCGCTACATGCAGCTCGTACTGCGTACAGTTTTCGCCCCTGATCCCGACGGCTGATGTGGGCAAGCTCGTCAACCGCGACCGGAGTGAGTGTGCAACGGGTCGACTCCGATATATGGCCGAAGTAACGACCGGCTGCTTGCGTGTACACGTGTTATTATAGAAGATTGATCCATCGCCTTCGATTCTCCGGCCCTAACCTCTGTCCGAGCGCCCTCCTTCCCTGCTCACCCACCACCGGCCCCGCCGGCGTCCCAGCAGCCACATCGTTTTGGTTTACATGGAAACCTTGCATCAAACGGCGCACGCACACGACGCATCAATGGGGACGAGACTTTTGCTTCTTCGTGGCTGCTTCTGCCCCGTCTGCGCCCCCCCCACTGCCGCCTTTTCTTGCCCGGGGCTTGTTGCTGTCGCCTTTGCCGCCCGACGACGACGCCGCCGTCGCCCCCGTCGGCGACACGGGCGGGACTGTCATTCCGAAGCGTGAGTGCATCGCGCACGACCAGATCGCCTTGCGGACACGCTCGGCGTCCCAGGGAGTTCCCAAGCTGGCGGCTTTCTGGTCCAGGGCTTCGTGGACCTGGGGTAGCACGCATGTAGCGAGTCGGGGTCGGTTGAAGGGGGAAAGTGGCGGGCGGCCTTGGTGGCAGTGCTTGCATGTTTGGCTCAAGCTTTTGAGGCGAAAAATTGTATCACTCTGTTGGGAAATGTAGGAATTTTTGAGGTATCGCGGTACGTACACCAAGTGCCATGCGGCCCGTACTATACGAAGGCACAGAGAAAACCTTCGGGTTTTGTTTGGGCTTATCCATCCCAGCAAACCACGAGATATGTATCCAGCACGCTGTTTCCCACTCTTTTCACTCTCAGCTCTTCACCAACTAATTGTGCATGTTCAGATGCTCACATCATTTCTGAGGAAACATACCCTTTCTCCCCATCATTCGCAGGCACACAAGAACTCCTCCTCACCTCTAGGTACTCCTTGAGACTGTACTGGCGTTTCCCAGACCGCTTGACTGCATCGATAACCTGATCGATGCACATTACATCAAGCCGAACACCCGCAAAGACGTACGTCAAACACATATTTCCCACACAGCACGTGAGAGAATGCTGACGCTCGAAATCACAACCACGCTTCTAAGACTTTGCTCTTTGGCTAGCCGGCTAGCGTGCTGTCGATTGAACGCTACTGTAGCTAAAGAAACGCATGCGCACGTATGCGCGAGCCAATACACCCACACACCTTCATGGTCCGCTTGTTGCCAAGCCCAAGTCAACCAACCCCCTCGCCAACAACCCACGAGACCCTGAACACACAGGTGCTTTGTTGATCGTTCGTCGTGTCGGGGTCAGCCGAAGCTCTCCCGACAACGTGCGTCGGAAACTAAGCCAAAACGCGCGCGTTGCCTCGGTGCAGGCGGTCCCCCGCCCCCACACTACACTATCCACACTCAACCTACGAAACTGGAGGAGACGCAATCGCTTCAGAACCCCTTAATTCCAGCGTGACTCGTTTGTCATTTCAGCTGTAGGAAAAATTACCCAACAGCGACTAAATAGGTTTTGGTGTGGGATTAATAACTACGCACAAACGGCCAAGGTCTTATCTTTCTCATGATTTCACGGAGGAACACCCCTCAAACTCACAAGGAGGTTCAAGCAGGCACCAAGCACTTCCGCTGACGCCATGACTTCATTGCCAACCTATCCCAGACTCTCATCTGTGGAGGAGATGAATTGGGTGTGTCATGATAAGCGAGAAAACAAAAAAAGCAGCATCAAATACTCTTCCTCCCATGAAAACGAGTACACGCTACACACGTCAATGTACCTCGTCTGCATCAAACGGGCAGCCCCCGCACTCCGCCGCCAGCACAGCGGAGGCCGTCGCCGGACCGACCCCGTACAGGTCCTTGGTCAGCGCGTTCACGGCCCTCGAAACCGCCTCGGGGGAAGCGCGCGCTGCAGCGGTCGCGGTGGTCGGTGAAGACGGCCTCGGAAGCTGCTGGAAGGCCAAGGTGCTCTTGGCTTTGACCTGACCGTTTTTCGAGCCCCGTGGCCGTTTCGAGCCGCGGGGGTAGCGACCAACGGAAAACCGTTAAGCACACAAAATATGCGCGAATCATACGACACAAAAAAGAACGACACAGCACCACCACAAGCTTCGACGGGCAAGCGCCGCATCCGGGATGAGGGCACCACCGGGTGTCTCCGTAAGTCTAAAGCCTTGCGATATATTTGAAGTACCCGGAAGTCACAACAATGTTTGCCATATTTCCATCTTGCCCGCCCAAGGGGTAGAATAATCCTCCCCTCGCCCCCATCATGGGTTTTCCTGGCTTGGCAACGACGTTATAAAACAGCCTTGCGATATATTTGAAGTACCCGGAAGTCACAACTATGTCATATTTCCATCTTGCCCGCCCAAGCGGTACAATAACCCTCCCTTCGCCCCCATCATGGGTTATCCTGGCTTGGCAACGAGGTTATAAAACATGTCGATCGCTTCGTGAGCTCGAAAAGCAGGCTTCCACTTTATTGCTGCCTTCGTTGTTGTTTGATGCGGTAACCATGATGGTGGTCGAGAAAATCACGTCGAGAACCCTCACTCCGCGCTAAATGATCGCACCGCGTTGCGTTTTGTTGGTCTAACCTCCCCCCCGGTGTTTGCCATCGGGGTTGGGTTTCGTCGCTTGGCAACGACGTTGTAGAACAAGCCCCCCGCCCCCCCCGGTGTTTTGCCATCGGGGTTGGGTTTTCGTCGCTTGGCAACGACGTTGTAAAACAAGCC